TTGCTGAATTAGAGTTCTAAACAAAATCCCAGGAAACTACAGCTTTAGAAGTGAAAAAGAAAATTGTAATTTAAAGTGTCTGACATAAAAGATAGGTCACTCTACATAAAGTGGCCATAAGACACCTTGCCCTCACATCCTTTAGTCCAAGTAATGGTCTACTAAAGATGCAGGTGAACTCACATATAAGAGTCTCCCTGAAGGGCCTTTTATTTAATGAAATTTTTGTTATGTCTTTGCTCTTAAGCTGCATTGTAGCTGTTATAAAAATAGAGTTAATGAAGGTTTCTAAAGAATAAAATAACCAAATTCCTCTTGCACTTGTGCTAGGTCTTCTAAAGCTCCTTCTGAAGCACTACTTAAAAATTACTGTGGTTATAAGTGCTGTTTTCTCTGAAGCACATTTCAAGACATTCTGAAGTTAGCTGCACTCATATTTTACACACTTAAATGATTCAAAGGGCAATACTTCAAAGTGTGCATTCTCTCCATCCTTACTGGTTGCACTACTCAGTGCAGATAAGGCACTACCCACTTTGAGCATACTATAAAGGTTTGAACAAAATCATATTCACAACACTGCAGTGAGCCAGGAAAATACTGGATATCTAATTGTGCTTCTGATGAGGAGCCTTTCTGCATGCAGCCTGGCCAGAAAAGCACTGTATTCAACCTCTCAAAATGTACAAGGAAAGAAATGGGATGAAAAAAGGAGAGATGAGAATTTATACACATGAAAGGGTGACTATATTTACAGGAAAGACCAAGCAGTATTAGCTCATTCTTATCTTCTAAGCCATGTCACACTATTCCCGCTTTTTCCATGGAAGATATTTTCTTCATCTTCCACACGCAGTGTCGCTCAACAGTTACTAGCCATTCTTCCTGTGTTTTACTCATGAAAGTTCATCTTCTCAGCCTCTTTTCTGCCTTTTACACCATAGAGAGAGACCTGCAACTATGTTGGCCACTTTGCAAGGGGACCTCTGACAGCCAGCACACTGCGAGCTTGATGCTGAAATCACAGCACACATTGCAGACACTGATCAATTGAGCCACATGGGTGTAGAGGACTCTGCCTCTACATATCACATAGATTTTTTCTGCATACACACCCATGCAATATCCAGGCTTTCTTTCTTTCCCAGGTAAACAGCACTCTATTGCTAACAGAGGGTAGGAGAGGGAGAACAGGCTCACAGTATCTCCTGTTGAGGCATGTAAAAGAAGAAATAAGACTTCAATATGTCAAGTATGGTTTATTCTTCCTCTATTATAACCTTGGAAGAAGGGCTTTAGATTTACTTTACAGTGTTTACAGCTGTAGTGGGTATATTCTGGAGAAAGAAGAAGCAGCACCTTTACCATTAGCTGCTTTTTGACCCAACTAGAGCATCAGATGAAAAATCTTTACAATACCATATTACTCTCAAAGCTTTCTTTACCCATTCATCTTTGTGTGTGTCAGTCACACAACAGTAATTCCAGACAAAAAAATCCCGTTTAATTACTATTACAAAACCAAACCCACAAAAAAGCATATTAAAATCATTACATGACTAGAAAAGCTTTCTACATCTAAGATAGTCAAAGTTAGCAAAAAAAGATGATTCATTTCACTTAACCTATGCATCTGACTGTACATTTCCTCAATCACCATGAATGTAAAAAGACTCCTAAAAAACAGCTCCCCACAAGATAAAACACTTCCTTTCCAAATTTCCCTGCATAAGCTGATTCTGCAGTTCTGTTTCAATTTGCATTATCACATCTCTTTAAAGCCAGTCTCCAGACATGCAATTTTAAAGTATATTTACAAGCTGTGCAACCATTCTTTTGAAGTTACATGGAAAGTTCCTATATGGGTGATAACTAAGAGTTGTCATCAAATTCCTGCAAGTGAAATTGGTTCACTGCTTACATTTCAATATGTGCTTTAAGCAGTGGTTAAAAATACATATATTTATTTCCATTTTTGAAAAATATAGTAACCACCTTTTAAGAAAGCAAACCACTTTGACATTAAAATTAATCAATCTCTTACCTTGTTTTATTCTGGAATCAGCAAAACTGTGATTAATGATGAAATAATGGATGCTTAGACATATGACATAAGCAAAAACATTACAATAGTGAAAGACCATATAATACAGAAGGAGGAAAGCTGCACCCATTCAAATGTGGTACATGATATGAGTCAAATGAGACACAAATTTAACTCCAGTATTTGCAGACTCACCACCTTCCTATCCTGCTAGCTCTTCTGGAAAACTGCCTTACGGAGTCCTGAATGTATATGTAAGTACAAAACCCACCCAATTTCAGGTTCCCTCTTGTGCTGTCGCAGTATTAATGGTTGTGTAGTTTCTACCATGCATGTAAACCCTGCTCAAGTAATAAGTTCACCAAGATGCAATGTGCTTCCCCACACCCACCATCACTGCAATGCAAAGATATGCACCTATTGGCCAACAGAAGTTTATTTTCATAATGGAATACTATTCTGGCCTTTCTAGCTTGGATCCTGAATATTTTTCATTTTCAAATGACATAGTCTTCACTGGCCTGCTGCCAATGCTCCTGGTATATTCTCTCAAGTATCCTTAGAGAGATATGAAAAAAGGCACTAACCTCCTATTAAAAACTAGGTGCTGTGGAAATAAACAGTACATTTAAATTAGATACAAACATAAAATAACAAACCTTGCACATAAACTGTTCTTTGTTTCTCCCTAATATACTACAACAGAGACAAAGTCTTCAATCCACACAGGGATACTATACTCCAAACAACTCAGAAAGTTAAAAAGAAAATCAGATATCAAACACTTCAGATATACCCCTCTTAAACACTACCTTTCTTTCAAGTATTTTATTTTATAACATCGATTAACAGGTTACATATTATCCCACATAACTGCCATAAACCTACCACTTCTCTGTATCTAACATTTTTGCTACTTTTTTTAAATTCTCATTGCTTGACTGAATTTTCATCTAGTTGGCTGAATTTAATCTCAGATTTGCTTTACCATCCTTATTTGCTGACAAATAATTTAATCTCCAATATTTCAGTATGTTATTAAAAATTTGAATAAATCATTATGGGGTTATTCTAAACCCAGCTTTTAAACTTCCAAGTTACAAGCAAGGAACATCTAAATACAGTACAGTACCAGATGTACAAAGGAAAGATACCACGATGACAAAACAAGCAGAACACAAAATGGTATACTCTTCAACACAGACATTTAAACAGAAAATGAAAAGCTGCTGTGATTTAGTAATACAATGAGAAAATGCACCAGAATGTCTACCAAGGGCACTTACTAAACATTATGTTACTGAAATTTAGCTATTACCTTTATGATAAGTGAATGTAATTTAGCTGTTAATAAGCAAAAAAAAGAAATTCCTCATCCAAACAAGTATGATGACATGAAATTTACCCATAATACCTTTTTCTAACTTTCCTAGGAGCAAAAGCATAAAGAATTACATGACTTATTAATGATTAGCTAAAAAAATGTATAATTTTTACTTTTGTCTATATAACAACAGCTATTGGATACATGGATCTGTAAGTGTTAGCTTGGAAGAAATGGTTTTCTAAACAGATAAAAATATTAATTTAATGCATCAAAAAACAATACACATGAAACTCAGTATCTATTCAATTTTAAAAAATCTATGAGCAGCAGCAGAACACCATTTCTTGCAATTAGACAGAAAATATTTCACAGAGAATCAGCTTACAGTATGCACTTGTCTACTTTGGAAAACTTAACCTTTTGAACCATTCTTAGGGTATGCTGACCCCTAAAGGTCTAAAAATACTAAACCTGATTAAGCCATTACACATTTAAATCATCAGAATACAATTCTCCACTGGTATTCCACCATGACTATTTTTGTTTATAGACTATATAATTCAAAAACTTTTTAACTTCACTCAGTAACAGCTCAAAATTCCATAAATTAAAAGGGGTCTATAAGTAGTTTATTTTACAGAATAATATAGATAGAAATCTATATTTCTATCTACATACAGATGAAAGAAAAGCATCATCTCCATGATGGAGCATTTCTTTTTTCTTCTAAACAGATTCTTCATGAGAAACTTGACATTTATTATCTTTTGAGAGAGAATACATAGCATAAAATTCAAAAAAAGGAAATATACAAGATGCTATCAGACTTTGATATAGAGGGAAACCTATTCCACTTTGGTTTTTTTAACCTACACATAGTCACTGACTGGCAACAATCCACCCTTAACTGAAGGTCTCCTTCCCTTTCTTCCTTCTGCACATTATTATTTATTCACAAGCCACTTTCTGACAATTCTCTTCTGCAAAGTCAGTTGTGTAATGTACTCTCAAATTCAGTGGTTTTTTTTTTCCTTAAGTTTCTGCCACAAAACATAGAAGAATGTATCTGTGAACAATTGTGTTTGGTCAACCAAATACAAATACAAAAAGATCTTTCCATCCTGATGGAGACGAAAACTCCATGAACCATGGAAGTTCCAAGTTAAACAAGGCCCCCTTTACCTCCAAGCCTTACCTTACTGTCTACATTAACTTGAGGTATTAATGAGAAAGTAGTTAATACTAGTAGATGGCTTAATCATACCCTAGCCAGGAGTGAACAGCCAAGAAAGTTACTTTAAGACAGAGCTTCAGATTTATTGTAAACCATTAAGGAAAAATGTTGAACGGTAAAATGCAATGTACAGACCCAGAATTCAAATAAGACTTCTCAAAGTTACACAAAAACATTTTCAATAATTCAGAAAATAAAGGTGAAGCTTTACATTCATGTAGCTGCTCTCCTGTTACCCCAAATACTTTTAAGGGGTAATGTGTGGTTCTGAGGGTTTTTTTTATTTCTTTTCTTCCGAAGTCAGTCATATATCAGCAAGAACAAATACATTCCAGTCACTGCCTAGCACTGGTACAACACCAGAGGTTCCTTATTAATATCTTTAAAGTCCCTACCTTTTGACCAGTTCTCCATTTGTGCTTCTGAATTTGTTTGATCTGGCACTGAGTCCAGTTTTTGCTCGAAGATTTCAGAGCTAAAATAAAGTAAACTTTAGATAAATAAACTTGGAACACACCTATACTTTGCCTTCATTTGATGGAAAATTTACAAGACAAATGATTTAAAAATATTTATAACAGGACAATAAAGTCCGCATACTTTAACAGTCAGTGAAAAATTATATTTCTCAGTAAAATATTTTTCTTCACTCATCTAATTTTTATAATTGTTTGGTTCAGCTGTTTGTTCCATGTAATGCCTTTGTTGAAATATTTATTAGTTCGTTTTTTTTCTTCTAGAGTCTGGTTTTGGAAGTACATGTTACTGAGCACCGTCCAAATCACACCAAGTAGTCCCACTAGAGGCAATGAGACTGCTCACTTTGGTAATTATTACAGATGGTGGTAGCGCTTCACTTTACAGCATTCTTTCTCCTGCTTTAATTTCCTAGATAAAAGTGGCCTTAGATAAAGTGGCCCATGATCACTCCAACTTTGAATTTGCAGGTCTTTCTAAACAGCTAAATAATGCATCCTAATATTTGCATACATATTGGTTCAGAATACAGTTAATTACACTGTTTCAGTATTTCATTTAATCAAAGATCTTCAAGAAATAACCCTCGATACTCAAAAATAAGATCTACAGTAAAACATCATCTTGGGTGTTAAAATATGTTTCCTTATGTGTTAAAAATCCAACTATATTCCGTATCTCAAGGAAATCTAAATAAATCTGTAATCTTGCTAACACAGCATGCTTACCACAAATTTTATTACTTACTCAAGAACCTTTTTTAAAAAGTATTGTACAAAGGACAATTTTTCATCTTGAACTATGCAGTTGTGCTTTTTTGTATGTTTTCACTGCTATTTTTTTTTACATTTATTACAAAGATAAATATGTGACTTGAAGAGACAGTGGCTGGATCATGAAAACACCCAGAGAGTGTCTTGTGCTGAAAAATGTAAGAGTTAAAAAAATATTTAAGGACATATTTTAAAATTCAAGCATATTATACCAAGACACATGTTCTAACTAATAAAGCAGCAGAAGAAATTATTTTCCTATACAACACCAAAAAGGTAGAAGTTTTCATTTTTTTCTTTAAGATTATAAACAAATTTAATTGTACAAATGCTTAAGATTCAACACTAACATTTACATTGAGCATTCGAGAAATACATATTTAGTTCATATTTGTTGTTGACTATAAATGTGCATGATAAAAAAAAGGCATAGAATTTGATGTGCTTAGGTCTTAACAAAAAATAACAACTTCACCTCATATCGTGGAACACTGAGTTTCTTACAAGAATCCCTCAAATGAAGCTGACGCTTCTTCTTCAATTCTGTGTAACTGTGTTGATTTGAAGTTGGCAATCTTTTCCTAAGTTCCTCATTTACTTTTGGATTAGCTGAAAATATAGAAGGTTATTAATATCAAGAAATAGGTTTCTGTCAATGAAGCCATTTCCCTACATATTGCACAAAAAGGTTCATAATAATTGCAATATTTTAATAAGATATTCATATAGCAAGACATGAAGAAAATATGGTATTTAATAACCTCTGGAGTATTTTAAAACATGTCTTAGGGCCTTAATGTGCCTAGTAATATACTATTTAAAACCATAATTTTATCCCTCCACAATATACAGTCATTCTTCCTCGCCATTTACCCAGCTAATGAATGCCAGCAATTAGTAAAATGTAATCCCATTGCACAATCATTTTAATGCTTTTAGCACTCAGAAAAGTAAACACCAAATTAATACTGCTCAAGCCATATCAGATCCTAGTTGGAAGCAAGCAATTATAGTTCAGCTCCTCAGGTGTAATTAAATGATTGGAATGATTTAGTTCCATAAATGCAAGTTAATTCATAAGCAAGCAACAAATATACTGGGAGTAATTACAAGAAACATTGACAGTCTAAGCAGGACATGTGCCTTTCTCTACCTGATGCAGGAAAATGCTGCCCTCTCCCGGAAATAATAGAGTATGGCACAGGAAAAATTGGTGACCGAAGTCAAGAGACTTTGTCTTCATAGGTGAAATAGGTTCTGCTAATTAATAGGAATTTTCTGGTTTACATATAGAGAAAATAAAAAACGATTGTTGATATTAGATTCAAGTCGCCTATTGGACAAAGTCAAACGGAAAGGTTTTTGGGGCTCCTTAGGGTTTACCACTTAATTTCCCCATAATGAAAATGTTAGTAAACAGAACAAAATATTCCAGGCACTAAGTATGTAAACTGGTTGCTCTGAACACAAACTCTGCAATAGGTAACTGACTTGTGCACAACATTCACATGTCATTCAAGATTGTACCTTTACAGTAGGTAGTTTGAACATTCTGTAGTTTTGGAACCAAAACTTACTGAACCATCATTATTCAGTCAGTGTTAAACTTCACCACAACAACAATCACAAGCTGGCCATGAAGGTTTTCACCAAAGGAATCGTTGGAAAAATTGAATACAATTATTCTAAATTGTTACTTTTATTTGAAGACAATCTCTTAATAATAAATCTGTCTCATAATCAAAAGAAATTAAAGCTGGAGTTTAGAATAAAGGGTACTGGTAGACCGAGATAAAACCGAAAATACAAAATTAAACCTAGAATTAATTTTAAATCTAGAATTAATTTCCTTATTCACTATCCATTTATTCAACCTGTGCTAGTGTTAAACTACTTGAACATCATGAAAGTGAAAATAAAAAATAAATTGTCCTTATCTGTTGAATATAAAATTCAAGTCACAGAAAATTCATAGTTAAATATAAACCCACCTGCAAATATGAATATAAATTATCCAGTATCTTCCTAATAATGAAAGAAACCTCAGATCTAACAATTTTGCCCACTACAGAAATAACAAATGCTTCCCCGTGCTGCATACAGCAGCATGGGAGAAAAACTACACACTGTGGACAGTATCTAACTGTTTTCCACAGAGAGAACTGCAGGAAAGCTTGATTCAAAAGCACCTGATCACTGTAAAAGCCTGAAATTGTTCTTCAGCAATAGCACTTTGACATCAAAATGTTTACTTGTTCCAGATCTTGGTGTATTTCAAAACATACTCAAGCTGTGAAAGTAACCTTCACATTTACTGTGAAAATGAAATAAATTATTTTAAGAAGTCATATTATTAAAAGTTTAAAATGTACAGCACATTTGCTTTGCCCTTTGATGTCACAGTCCTATTTTTCTATTCAAATCTTGTACACTGTAAGTTAATTGCTTTTGGAAACTACTTATTATTCATGTAAAAATTAATGTGCCAATGTGTTTAAATCCTTTTAAATGACCATTCATGCATCTTTCTTCTTTAAGTACCAATGAAATCTGTCAAAGATATCAATGCAAGATGGTCTTAGACAAAGTTCTAATATAGATTTTTTTCTGCTAGCATAAGATTTTCATTTTTGTCAACTTTACTTAAATTCCATTAATTTTTTAAGCTGCTTTTAATAAATTCACAAGTAAAAAATTTTAGGCTCCACAGTCTGTCATTTGTGTTCCAGCTGACTTTATGAATATTAATAACAGTGTTATCCTGATTAAATAGGCTTCATATAAAATCCCTGTGAATCCTATAGCTCAGACATCTCATTTTTCCAACTCTTTATGAATTTGGATTCAGACATTAAACTGGAAAAAACCTTAAAAAACAGATTCAATGGTACATTGGTATACCCTTAAGTAAAAAATTAGATGTTCTAATGATTCAAATAATTAAAATTGATAGGACCACATATTGAGATTTCAGGCTTTCTGTAAACATACAACATATTTTAACTCTAATGAAAACATCAACACTTCAGAGAGAAAGGATTAAGAATCTATCATAAAATAATATTATCTTGTCCTAATGCTTACCTTAAACAACAGATGATATAATCTTAGATCTTCTATATGGAGTGTGATTTGCACAAGTATTTTCCAAACAGAAAAAAATTAGTGGATGCTTAATTTCATAAGCATACACATGAAATACATGAACATTCTAGTTTACTATAGGTGTCCACTGAAAAGCAGCATTAATTTTCAAATGGTTTATAGTTTGGGAAAAACAACATTTTCTTAAGAATATGAAATTGTAGCACATAAGAAATATTAATATTATCCTACGAGACACGCAGTCTCAACTGTCAACTTCTTTACATGCTTATATGTTTGAATTATTTACATCTGTGACAGACAAGAATGGAAAACTAAGCTCATTGCACTGCCTTCACCTTTTTTATACAGTGCTAACTGAAATGACTGCTTCCTCATCCATTCAGGGAATATTCTGCAAAGATGGCCATTAAAATACTTTGCCTTCCACTACCTTGGAATATGAATTTAGGAGGAAAAAAAACCCTAAGCAAAATAATGACTTATTCAAAAGGACAGCATTCCAGTCCAGGTTCTAATTATTCATCAACACAAACACTAATAGGAATTAAATAAAAACAATATATATATAAAGGTAACATATATCTGCAAGATAGGAAGGATGCAGTGCTTTACTTGTGCAGTTCTGAATAGTTTTTATTACAGCTGCAGCAGTATTTCCACTCTCAGAGGAAAAAAACCCAACCTCTGGAGTGTCTGCAGAATAAATACTATACAAAGGAGCACCCCACAATAACACCAACCCCACAACAGCACAATAACACTAAAGCCAATGCTTTCCCTTCCTGGCTAGGACTGAGAAGTCCATCTTCTAAGCTGGAGTTCAGTAACTGACTCCCCCTCCTTGGGAACTGAAAGGCTGTTGAGACCATTCCATATGGAGACCCAGTAACTGCAAACCCCCATTCCTCGGTCTTGTCTTGACAGGTTTTGAAGTCAACCACTGAATCCCGGCCTTAGCTGTTGTGACAGGACACAAACACTTGCTGGTGTCAACTGAATTCACCACTTCTTCACAAAAAGTCCGTGAGTCTTGGGAGAGTTTTTCCAAACAGAGGGCTACCCCACCTGCCCTGCTTCTGGTGGAACAAGAGACCAGTTCTCACCACCCCCTGGAAAAGCACTGAGCCAGTCTTTGTCCCTCCTAAAGATGCAATTAACAGTCGCCATTGACAGTGCAGGGATGAAATACTATACACTTTATGAATAGGGAAACAGAGAACAAATTTTAGCATTATTTTCATAAGATTAATTATAGTACCAGGATCTCCTGAAATATCCTGAAACGTTTTGCCTCAGGGCATGCTAAACTAAAAGCCTTAATTTAGGAGGGTATGCCACACAAAAACCAGTTACCATCTCGAAGCATTTCCCTAGGGAACAAACAGTTTTCTTACCCAGGTGGATGTCAGGTTTTGATGCAATGATGCACTCCTCCAAAAGGAGTCACACTGCCTCTCTATCTTAAGAAACTATGGCAAATCAGAAACCTAAGGCAATGCAAAGTAAATTAAAATTAGCTTTGGGCAGTTATAAAAACACTAGGCAAAGGATAACTTCAAATAATTGTTAAATGTGGAATACTACCCATTTATTAGATATTTAAAAGCTGTGAAATCAAACATACTTTGATTACAGAGGTACTTATTTTAGTGTATTTTATTACTTTTATATTTATTAAATACAAATAGTTCATGCAAAATATTCTGTTTCTTTTAAAAAGAATATGAAACATAGGCAAGTGAATTAACCCCATATGTGAATGAATGCAGCATGAGTAGTACTTCAAATTTATAACTCTAGCACTGCTACAAAGACTTCATGATTTTGGTTCACAGAAGTAACTTCACTATCTGGAAGCTTGATAAAAACATTTTCCCAGAGGCCAGACTCTGGGAAATAATCCCTGTCTTTTCTCCCCTTCTGATTCTTGACCCAAAAGGAGATGAGACATTTCCAGTTGGTTTCAACTAACCTACATAAATCAGAAAACACATGAAGAAACAGAGCTCAGGTATTTTTCCTCTGTTGTTGTAGCAGTTTCTTCATATTCTTTTTTAAAAATTTGCATCTCATGCTTTTAATGATGGCATACAGTAAGTCAAAGAATGTTCATTCTCTTTTTCATGCTTTTGACAAAGGTAAGAGAGGAGGCATAAAAATGCATTAAAACAACTAGTTTACAATAGGTTTTACTTATTCCTAAATTAAATTTATTGGATAAAGGATATGTACTTTTCTCTTTATTTTTTTCTCCCTAATTTCTGCTATTAGCTCAGTGTCTTCAAGGCTCAATTTTCTCTCTGTGCATCAGGAAATGTTTATGTGTATCATCAACAGCCCCACATCTCTTCTCCCCTCTGATATATTCTCTCTTCCACATTAACAACCTTCACAATCCACATTAACAATCTTCATTTGTCTTTTATTTACTAAACAATCTTTAGCCTGCTCTGTTGTCTTCTGTCCTTTTTCCTCCATTTCTTTGCTTTTTCCTTAGTTTT